TACGATTGGTGCGTTTCTAATTTCACATACTTTTGGATATTCAGAATTGTGTTAATTACGCTATTCTTGAAAACTTACTAGCTAATAGATCCGTATAAAAATGCTAGTGAGGATAGCGCGTTGGTGTTCAGGCATCTTTGGTTGTTCTGTAGTGGCCGTTATATTTATGAGTAAGGACATTTTGACACTCATCCATAGAGAAACGATAAATAAAATTGCCTTTAATGTGAACAAAGGGGCGTCTTTTTCACCAATAGACTTTTCCTTGTCTTCTTTATCTGTTCCATCCAGTGTCTGCGTAGTCGCTGGATGAGTGAATTACACAAACTTCAATGGTGGCCAAAAACGAATTCACGACGAGATTCGTCAGTAACAGCAGCAACAATGAGCACCCGGAAATGACCGCATGAAAAGCGTTTTTTTTTTTTTTATGGAGAATAAGAGTTACGAGGAATGAATAAGGAATAAAAAAGACCGAACTGACTGAACGAATTCGTTGCCCTTTTGCCTCGTTTTTTACGTCAGGAAAAAGTGGGAGGCAGAGGCGGGGGATACTGGTTGTGGTGGGGCAATTGGGGTTGTAGAACTATGAGTGGTGCCTGCGCATGAACGAGTTGGACCAAAAAGCTATTTGCATTCCATCACCCTGAAATGATGTCGGTGACCACAGACAGACAACGAATCTTGCCATATTCACATGGTCTGTCACAGCACAGGATGTAACAAGTTTCCAAATAGCCTAAACACTTAGCTTAGTTGATGTTAAGCATAGAGAAGCTAACAGTACAAAGAATTTTGTCGACTATACCAAGGCATGTTGGGTCCTGCTGAAATTGCTCCTAGAGTTAGCGGTAAAACATTGTGTTATAAATACTTCGGCATGAAACTGCGGCATTCACATCTGTCAGGATAGTATTTGTCGAACTAGAGACCGTTACTTAATGAAAGCGATGTCTTTATTTTATTTTCCCGCATTTTTTATTACTGATTTCTGAAGTAATGTGTATTTTTTTCAGTAAGGAAAATGTTCTTTACGTTGCTAAGAATTTTCGAACAGCTTCTTACCACCAAACAAATTCGGAGAGGTAATTGACTCGTTCGTTTACAATTCAATGTGTTATGTTAAACTTTAGAACAGAACCCAACGCTTTCTCTTCAAGATTGAGTGGCAAGTTATATAGCATTAACCTTCATATTCCGTTGCCTTCGCCTGTAAACAGGTACCAACGGTCCTTTACCACGAAGCTAGCAGCCGTTCATCCAGTGGTCGGTGCTTAGTTCGGCGGTTCATGCAAGCAATTTCCTTAAACGTTTCCTGCAGTGGGAAACTCTTTGATTTGTTTGGAACGGCAATGGTCGTCCTGCTAATGGCGTAGCGATTTGCGTTGTTGTTGGCAACAAATCTTGTTATTTACCGTTACAAATTTGATTTCATATCGCCTTTAACTACTGCGGAAAGGGAAACACACAGAAGTAACGGGACCAACTGGTGGCGCAATCTGATGAATCAGCGAAGTAACACGAAGTGCCCAAAACGAATGAAGTCTGGTCGCTGCTCTTGTTGATCCTATGCTGTATAATAAAATATAGATCATATAGAGCAAAGGTGCGTTTTGGCCTGGCACGCTGAAATTAAGGCGGGGTAAACGTTTGGCTGACATCGAAAATCGACCCAGCGCCTGGGACATTATCCAGCAGAAAACGTAAACAAGCTTCAATTACACCAACTCACCCTGAAATATGGTCAATACAAACAGTGAACTTGAGCTACTGACCGCACAAAATATGAGCTCGCGGTAATTTGTTTTAACAGGCCTGAAGACGAAGCGATAAAAGCAAAATCGCACGCTAGAAGCTAAGCGTACACCCCATAGAGATAGGTGCTGTTCGCAAAGATGTGTAAATGCGCAAATAGACGCCTGACCGGTTAGAAATCAGTCACTTTTGAATAAAAAGCAACGCCAACAACGTCAGTAATCATAAACCTGCTCGGCTAAATCTTAAATAATGACTTCTCCTTTTCCCCGTCGCGATTTGGCAATAGTCAAACATATCATCTAAGCATGTGAGCAGCGAGCACGAACGCCAATCTTGCCTGCCCGAAAACTATCATGAAGTAAGCAATCTAACAGAAATCAAAAATACCTCGACTCAACTATTGATTAACAGAAAGAACTCAGATTCAAATCATCTAGGGTCACCAGTCAAACGATGCTGTTGAAGCAGAACATGCTAGAAAACACACTAAATATTTTGTAAAAATTGAATGTATAAAGATAGCCAGATGAATAAACACAAAGCGCCCTCTAAGGAAAACGAATGCTCATCAAGAAGAGCTAGTAACTTAGCTAAAGTATAATCCTGTGTACAACCGGGTACACTTTGTTGTGCTATTGGTTCATAGATTCAAATCTTTCAATAGTAGAGAACCTTTAAGGGGGGCGATTGGCTTCAGGTGGAGATCGCTTCGATGAAGACTTGAAGCAGTTGAAGTTTGAGCTAAACACGCCTGCTCTCTGCAGGTCAACATTGATTAGAGCAGTGAGAACCGTCCAAACAAACTCGTAGCTAACTATGTAGTGAAAGCGTAATTTTTTTCATTTGAGGATTACCATGAAGTTTTTGATATTAATGAGACATGGATGGAGCCAGCCCGTATCTCATACGTATCACCATATCAATCGTCCGAAATATACAAAAAATACTAATACGCGTTCAGGCTTCAGTTAGTGTAAATACCATTTTCGTTTCCAACAATCAGTTATCAAATGACGCAAGTATCTGGAATTTTTTTCTACTAGTATTTTGCTTTCTATTAAATAGGAAAACCTGGTATGCCCCCTAATTATAAGTAATCGAATTGTTAGGTTTAACCGTTTCTTATAGGAAATATTCAATATTCTGCTTACGCTTGCAAAGGTTTCGTGGTCCGACCGATCTCATTCGAAGCCAGTCTGAGCGCATGAATTCAAAGACAACCGAAGTTATCTTCTTGAAGGCTCTGTCTATGCAGGCGAGGCCACTATGTATAGACGATCGGAGATTGAAGAATGTTGATTCCCTTGCGAGAAGCTCTCCCTCTCAGAAGCCTCATGGATTCACCTCTGTTAGAGGCGTTCGGGACGATCTTTAAGAAACGGGTCTGCTCAAGCAAGCCTACGTGTGTATGCACCTAGCTAGACAGCCTTTCAGAAAGAAATCTACATACAACAACGTACTAGTTAATTCGACTATATTCTGTAGATAGCACCAAGAGTTCTGTACCACAGTAACGCTTGCAGAAATTAATATTCATATTTGTACCTGTGATGAAATTGAGAAAATAACAGAAAAACTGCACCAAAATTAAGTTACGGATTATATTTTTCTGAGTTGCCGATAATCAGCGAAATACATTGTATCTCATGACTCTGCCTTAGAACCGTGCACCTACCTATAAGCAGTTTAGCTTGGCCCTTTCATTGCTAGTTCAGCGACACATAATGATTAAAATTACCCAGAAAATTAGGCTTCTGTTGCCGCTCTCAGCGTTTGCCTGGAGCGTACACGCAGCCTCTGTAGTCATCATTTTCATGCCAGCGGTCCGGTTAGTTGTAATTGGTCGCTCCTCTACAAACAGCGGAAACTAACTTTCGTAAAGGTCCGCGAGCCAACTTGAGATTCTAGGTGAGCTGTTATAGGTTCAAGCCTTCCAGTGTAGCGTATCCGATTCTATCTATCGTGTGTGGTTCTTTCCCAAAAGGAAGTCACTAAGCGTCTTCTGGTTTCATACGCATACTAGAAAATGATTTTTTTTTATCTTCCGAATATACGACATCCCCATTCCCATATGCTCCCATACCATTTCAAATTGTCAGCGCGTAGAGCACAGGCGATAGCGAAACAGTACGTCTCTCTGCACACAAACGGTTAGAGAAATACATAGCTACATAGATACGTTGAGATAGGTGCCGAATACACAGGCCACGTTACCAAAGCGTTTTTTTTCTTCAAGTCAAAATTGGTCATTACCACTTTATAAAAGAGTTATGAGCTTTCAGAATGCCATATCTACTTTGTTTTGTGTATATCACATGTAGCATTGCCACATAGATTGATTGCCTTCTTACTTTGAAATCGTCACTTTTACCTAGTCACTTCAATTATATTCGTTCGGGTGTGAACATTGTAACGGAATTTAGCATTCGTATAGCATTAAAAAAGACAGTGCTTCATTTGCTTTTTACTGTAAATCATCGTAAAGTGTCGTCAAGCGGCGCATAGCGCGTCTTGACCTCCTGAGTGTTAATAAGAACACTCGTTTAATGGATCAGGAGGCGCAAAGCCTTGGCTGCGGGATCGCGGAGGCCCCTGGTTAGCTAAGCAGCAATAGCGAGGCAAATGAAGACCCGATACCAAAGTGTCGCCCGTCCACTTGAGCTAAATGGTATCTATATTTAAACATTGTGAACGATTTCTTATTATCGGTAACTTACGTATCATATATTCGAGCGGCAACCAGCGTCAAACACTTCGGTGTTATTCTGTTCACGACGTAGTCTAACTCGTTACAGAAGAGTACAAAGTGAGAAAATCACAGCGTATCCAGCAAAGCAGTTGACTACCCATAGTTAAACACCGCCACAGAGACCTTGGTAAGTAACGCTTAAAAGCTCTGGAGGTACGAGGTGTACAAGCGTGTATAAAATAATTTACATTCATTTACAAGGTACATTATTTTTGTAAAGCCTTATCGGCTTTTTGTTGTACGGAGACCACCAAGACCGTGTTTAGATATCAGGCCTGAAACTTGTCATCATACTGTTCTTTTTAGAAGACATTGCTACTTGCGACGTCCTAAAAGTTGCATAACTTGGCTTGAATTTTACAGAATCTGTTACATGCCATTTAAACGGATGCGGTACATGTTTAACCGCGTAAAAAAAACAAGTAAGACATTTTATATTTGTATACAAGCGTATTCAATAAACGATAAGTTATGTCCCGACATATTTTCTTACCTCTTCAGAGCCTTCAAACATGTTCTTTTCGATCTCATAGAAAGCATCCTTGTCGATGTATCCTTGCCCCTGATGGTCACACAAGTTAAAAATCCTCCTCAGCTCGTCCTGAAAATCGGAGTTTTCTTCTACTGCTGCACCCATGTCGACTGGGTTTTCTACGGTGCACATCATCGTAGTGCAGAAAAGTCCTTCAAAATAACACTTCGCTGAGACACAACCTTGCAGCCAATGTCATATATAAAACAGATAGATTTGTATAGATGTTTGGCCGCATTAAGTCGTCGCACCCAAACAATTTTACTCACGAATTTGCCACGCACCGAAGAGTGCTGTCATCAAAAGTTTAACCTTCTCAGTCCAACTACAGGTATTCATCCACCATTAGTTGGCTGACAGGTGATTGATGAATGTAAAATGAGCCCAGCAGGTTTCTTCTGACATTATATGGATTATCCCGGGTTATCCTTTGTGACATCAACAAGAATCACGTAAGCATGGCACACTCGACTCATAACGAGCACATTTATCCACTGTCAAACTAACACACGTGCACTCAGATAGTGCCAATAACACTCTTTCCCCACATGCCGACACGGATGCCACTCGTAAAACCTCCACTGATAATTAACTCATCAGGAACTTTATCGTTCCTTACTATCCGCTAAAATTTCGGTATTGTAGCTTTTCTCGCTCTGTCAAGAAGCACTTAATACATCAAACTACAGCGCCCTTAGTGGCCTGAACGAATCACTATGTTCAGCTCGGTGACGTCTCCTGTGAAGACCAAGTTAAGTGTAGCTTGTCATCTCGATCGTTCGTGAATCTTGATATTCCCTCGTATTCCTGCGGGACAATGCTAATCATCTATTTATTGAATCGGATTTCAGGGACGACAACGTCGTGTGCGCTTTCTACTCGGCAGAACAGCTCCACCTCGCGCTCACTGTCGCACACGGCTCCTGTCTGCGTCCATAACTACTACCGCGCCCGCTAGACCAGACCAGCAGCACGGAATACCTATGACTGGTGGCGCCAGCAGCACCAGCAGCACCAGCAGCACCAGCACCACCACCACTAGTAGCAGCCGCCGCTGACGCTTCCCTCCCCTATCGTCCGACACATGCACACACACGCTACCAGCCAAAGGACCAGAGACGAGCTTGTCACCGGTTATGTAGCCGCTTCACCCCATTTTGCTTTCCCTCACCATCTGGTATGAGCATGGCTGACCGCGCGTATTTACCGTATCATAGATAATGACAGAGTGTGACGAAGTGCGTCTCGTTAATATACGTTCGTACTTGCTGTTGGGTTGCTATCTGTTGAACGAGAAAAATACGAAAAGTCATAGAATTTCATAATAGTTTGTAGTCGGCTGTAGACGACTAATTATTATTGTTGCAATCGGGCAAAATAAACGTAAACTAAACAGTACATGGTGCTTCAGTACTAGTTCGCACTATATCAGTGAGATATATGTATGAAAATAGGTCGGAAAGAGAAGTGAACCATCTGCGTACTGTGTACTTGGAACAATCGTTACCTCTCTAAGATATGCAGCCATCAAAGTTTAACTATGAAATATTTACCATTAGATCATGGTAGTCGACGTCTCTTCCGATGTTCAGGTGAAGGCTGAAAACATACGTTATGCTCAAAAATTTCTGATGAAATGGGACATAATGGAATCGTCGTGCCATCTAACTTTGTAACTATGCATAGATTAAATCTATATTGACTAAAAAGCTATGAACGAAATTAGTTCCCAGTGCGCAAACTCCACTGCTAACCTATCACCCTTAACGTGTATAAATCTTCAATTTATAAATAAATAGATAAAACCTCAATATTGAATATGCAGTAATACTCGTTTTAATTGTTTAGTATACGAGCATGCGTCTGCTCTTAGTTAATTTGATTTAAGGTGGGTTGAACAAGCAACTAGGAGAATGTCCTGCGATGTAAAGAATAAGATATATTGTCTTCAACCTTGACCCGCGTACTTTTTGCATGGAGATATTTTGTACGGTAAAATTAATTTACTAACCAAAAAAATAGCCTAGATGGCTGAAATTTCTGATTGAGTACGACTCCGTTAGTACTTTGTCGGCACAGCCAGTATTAAGAGTACGTTGCTGGCAAGTTGTATCACAATGCATATATCTTTGGTTATTGCAGCGTTCTAGGGGATTATGAATTTCGCATAATTTTTTTCTATAATGGGGTGCGCGTTACAGAAGCGGTGTTGTTAGTTCTACCATTCAAAATTGTAATTAATAGATATGCTTAAGAAATTAATATTATACATAGTGCTTTTGCAGGACATTTTTTGTCTATGCATGAATCAAGCAGTGCCTGATGCGTACTTTTCTGCTATTACATTCATTTTCTCTATGAATACGTCGACGGGAGTCTAATCAGCAGAGAGATGTAATAGTTGGACGCCCAGTCCGGGGCGTCTATGCCTCAAGTCGACCAATGTATGTATGTAAAATACTTATTATAAAAGGCGCTATCTGGCTATATATTGAATAAAGGCTACTATTAGAAAATATCCGATTTATAAAAGTGAGAACATAGAACTAGAAAATGTATTAAATCAAAAGCAGAATAGAGGCAAAAATGTGCTCAAACAGTATTAAGCCGTTTTGGGGGCATTTATCGTTCTCGAATTGAGACGAGTATCGCAGTGTGTTGAGTGTGAACGTAGCGCAAACGCGATGAAAATTATCTAAAAAGGTTCCATTGGAGCTTTTTAGGCGGATGATCCTTAAACAAGGCGTATCAAGTTCGGTATTAAGCTCAAGTTAGACCGCTACAGAATTACAGTTACTAATAGCATTTTTGGGTGACGGAGTGGATCATCCGAAAAGATTGACTATATCACTACCAGTAGTTATACCAAAAATTAAGTATAGCTGAATATACTTTGGAATATATCTCTGCGCTACACTATAGAACAACGATTCCGATAATGAATAAATTGATAAACTCCCATGAAATAAGTAGGAACATGTTTGTTTATCAACAGGATCTAATACATAGGATCTCCTGGTACATATTCCAATGCTTGATACTAAGACTGGTTCATCTAAAACATCGTGCTATTATTGATGACCTAATTTATAATTTATACTTCTAGGAAGTTTGACAAAATATAAATATATTGAAATAAAATATATAATAAATAAAAATTAAGTTGTTAAATAAAACATATCTTGGATGCAATTGCAACTTATTATATGATTTCGCTACTGTGCTCCGTGAGAGAGGTGCTATTTGTGTTATAAACAACGCCGGGTGCTCTCGTTAAAGACTGGAGAAATATTTGTTTTTATTTATTTGGATTTGCTGTTTTTATTTAGAGGATCGTTCTTGCATTGTTGGTTGATAAATGGCTTTGAGTTTCAATGAGCGTTTCAATGTTCGTCCCTCGAAAGCAGTATACATATCATAATGATGCGTCATCAACTATTATTGACATCGGTTTCATGTACAGTAATTTAAAATTAATTTGAACGAAACCTTCATTCTCTATAGAAATCACATTGAATACTAACAAATAGAATATTGTGTTCCACATGTTATTATAGTGGTAATACATTTTTTTTATATTTATTTTTTATAAAAATTATTATAAAGGTAAAATCTTCAATGAAAGTTTCGCTATGATATTGTGTTTTATATCAGTATATATATATATATATATTGGTTTCGTGACAACCGTCGTGCTTTTACTGTCAATCACTTATAACCATAGCCAAAATCCTCCGATATGATCTATGGATATGGTCCACGGAACCGTTCAGATATCTTAAGCCAAAGATTTCACTGGGGTTGCTAATTGGAACATGTTATGGAAAAATAAACTATGGCCATATAGGATACGTTCCAAATAATCCAATTAGATGATCAATCGAATAAAACATTTCATTATAGCCTGCTTGCTTTAACACACTTTTGAGGAAAAAAAATAACGAGAAGATTTGTAATATAGTCTTTTTTCCATGTAGCTTTTCGTATCGAAATCAGTGTAATGTTTATGCTTAGCTAAAATGGATATATCTTGAGCTGGTTAGCAAAAGTTACTGTATGAAAGTCGCTATGGAAAGTATTCTCTCCTGTCATGCCATCAAGCAATCGAGTGTTTGTTTTGTTCCGACATAAACCTTTTAGCGATTATCATAGTATGTGTACAATACTAATTTAAAAATACAACTTCCAGTTAAAACGGTTACATTTTAACGTAATATGTCTCGCTACAAAAATCCAAGTTTAAATCAATTAGTCAATCATTATTTTTTATAAGTTAACAGCTTATGATTGAAAATCTTCAATAGGAATTCAAATCAATATTTCCATCAACAACAAATAACCTCTGTCTTGGGTTTTTATTAAATAAACCATTTTTCCACACTTCTATACTGAAATTAAGTGCAAAACTTTGCTTTTTATAATCAGCCTTCGCAGAAGTTAATCGAAGTGTAAGGCGGGCACTTTGTATCGATACTAAATGCTATGTTTTATCTAGCATATTTGCTTATATCTATAGCACGGTTTTATTATAGCAGGTTTAAATTTGGTTGAATCCTAAATGCTAAATGATACAGACGCTAGAGCTGTTGAAAATTTCATTTCTTTTTTTTTTTTTTTTTTTTACCTGTTTCTATTTTTTTGCTTTCGGTTAGGAATGGCCACAAAATTGCATATGAGAATTATTCTATGAAGCAAAACAATCGAAGAGTACAGAATTTAGTCGCGATAGTCATGGTTTTTACTGTGGTATAAATGACACAATAGGTTATATTGATAATGAGAAATTATCGTTCGTCATAGAAGTATTTATTTCCGTTTGAAAACAATTCACATCTAGCATCGCTTTGAAGTATGGCGACAGGGCTAAACTTAGTTTTGAACTTTTAGAAAGGATATATTTTATACCGTTCTGTTAGCACAGATGAGCCCTATATAGGTAAATTCGGCCCAAATTTACGTAATTATTTAATTCGCTTTTCAAAGTTGTGCTTCAGAATTATCTCGTTAGTGTTATGTGTGTGTGTTTGTTTGTTTGTTTGTTTGTGTGTAATACGTAACCATTCTGGTGGGATTAATCATTACTGCATGCTAACAGAGTATCAGTTCGTTGAATAAATGGGGCGACGCAATTATGTTTAACGCGGTTGGAAATAGCGACGAATATTCCTTCCTAGTTTTTTCCCGCTCAGACAATACATAATGACAAACGAAAGATCTCGGATATGGTTGTTTAGACGTTCAAGTGAGGTATATGATCACAAACCAGATCACTGCATGGACAAAATATTTACTATCGTTCTAACAGTGTACCTAGGCTGCTCCAACCTGAATCAAATATTCCCTATAGAGATTCTTGTAGAAGATTATACCTCCAGTAATCTTTTTCTGCTTCTTGTGAAAATCATTTACCTTCACGCACATATTTTGAAATAGGCAACCTTAAAACCGTCAAACTGTATTTTTCGTAAGTTCAATTCAATAATAAGTTTGTTTTTGAGTATTCCATTGGATATCGAAGGGGGTCATATTCATTGCGTTGTTCACACCTAATGGCGTACTCCGGTCCAAGACTGAATGATGTCAATCGGTATTGGAAACACGATGGTCGAGTTTTTCTCTGCGGATATGGTATTTAATGTTTGTAGGTAACGCAGTTGCAGAGCGGCCGGACTCTGTATAGATATAACACATTATATACACATTATAAATAGTCAGCGAAATGATTCAGCGAAAGAAACGAACGGCCTAGCACACGACATGACAGACCGCAACATTCGCTCAAACAAACAGTGTAAAGACAATGAGGATTATATTATAGTTTTTGGATTTTCCGTTAATGCATATGAGTAGTTTTTTCATTATTTTGAATAAAAATAATACCGTATAGGACTGACTTCCTAACACACTGTTTGATTAAACTGTCTAGATTTAGCACCGGGACCGTATGGCCGCAACGATTCGAGCGGTAACGATAACAAAGATCGGCAGCGTTCGAATTTAATGGATAACTTCAGCGGCATCGCCGAGCGAACTTAATCTCTGCCGTTCTAAACGCGACTCGGAGGAACGGTCAGCGTGTGACACATTGCCTCTTTAGCGGTGTGTATATTTTAAACAGTTCGCTCAATTGCTCAGAACTGCTACTATATTCCAGCGGATTGCATCAGGCTCGTATCATAGGCCTCCGCGATAACTTCGCCTGTGACTAAACATAAAAGAGTTTGGCCAGACATGACATGAGATGAGATTTTCATCACTGATCTCTTCGCTTTGGCCAAGTGAACGCGCAAAACGTAATCAGAAATATGCATAAACATTTACCTATCGAACACGTGGTGGGGTTGCTACTGACTTTGTAAGGAAGCGTAATGGAAACTCTGTGGAAACTAAGAAACAGGGACGATCTTACTTGGGCAATCACGTCAGCGGCTTCCTTAAGAGCTCGGGACGATTTCTGTTCCCCTTCAGCGGCAATCACCTGTCCGAATAAATGAATGAATAAATAAATACAAGGAAATCACAGGTTTTTGGTTAAGAATTACATTATAGAATTTGTTTTTAATTATTTACCGGAATTTATTACAAATTAGGATAATATCGTCTAAAAAAAAAAAAAAAATTCACTTTAACGTAGTGATAGGCTATATTGCAATGCAGCACTCATTAGAGGAAGATCGCTTCTGTCACTGTAAAACTCTTGCTTATATATTAGGTGCACCTTAGCGCGGGCTTCTCGTGCAGCCTCTGCCTCGGCGGCCATTGCCCTTTGCAACTGAACCGGGAGTCGAACATCCTTACTGCAATAGTCCATATCAAGAAAGCCTTTGTTATTTGAAAAATTCGTGAAAAAAACGCATCCATCGCATTAAAGATCTACGTCTATGTAAAAAGAAGGTCTATGTAATCTTCAATTAGGAGCTTCATGTTACAACCAATAGAAACATTTTCATGTACTGCTTTAGATAATCTTTGCCTAGTTAGACTTATAAGTAACGACTAGCTCATTAGGACTACGTATTTCTTCAACCTATATCATGCATAAAAAATGCATGTACAAGGAATTATAAATGGGCTGTATATTATTATTATTATCAAATCTGAGTATTAGATAGGGCGCTAAATAACAATGACATTGCGTTGAGTTTGGATTAGTACTTTACAGGGCTTGCGTTTCAGACATATAATGACAACTGTGATAGGGGGGTATTTTAAATATTTCTGATCAATAGATCTTTCTTTCAAGCTGATTTTTCACTCATTACGTCACCTTAGAAATATGCAATATTCCCCTATATCGAATAGTAGAAATTATTTGTAACCCGGAGCAAATGTGAATACCTTCAACTGAATAAAGGCTAGTTAGAATTGATTAAAAAGAATATCCAGAACTAAGAATGATATACCGAGTAACACCGACGACAGCAGCGCAAAGATGCCCCTACGCGTAACCCATAAGTCACGACGCACTGTTCACGGCCATCGTTGTGTCAAACACTTTCTGATCGTTTGCGCATAAGTATCATTTCATATATGTGTCCGGAACCTTCATGTATTCCTATCTAGAAATAAGAGTGCACGGCTACGGTAATCGCTGAGGGTCAAGTCAACTCTGGATGTGTTAGAGCGATTTTTAGATTGTATCTCACCGATACAAAGCCTTTAACAATCATCATCAATCGTATAATATTTTGCACAGTCATTGGGAGGTAGTTACAGCCCGAGACGGTTTCGGAAATGGCATAGTTTGTTGCATAGGTTATCGCTCTACAACAGCCATGGTCACACTACCACTGACACGTCCATTTAGCATTACCCCGCATACTCCATTAGAATTTTCCGTGTACCAAAAGAGCGGCTTAGTGTGCCCTATCTCCGGTTTATGCATATTAGGTCGCTAAGGGTCAGGGTGTAAGGATCGTTAAGGATCTCTTCAAGCGCATGCCCCAACTCCAGCCGCGTATCTTTCAGAAGCGCCGTAATATCCTCTCTCCTGCTTTAATAGAAGGCCGACCTCATATGCTGCATTCTAATCGTTGAAATCTCGTTTTTCGAAATTTCAAACTGAACGGTTCAATATCACAACAATGAAATGTCTGTAGACAAGATGGTCCATTGACTGTAACCCTTATGTGACTTATATTCGATCGCAAGACGTGTTCTAAAATAAATTTCAGACACGATATACTAGATACGCAAACAGGGTATACTAAGCATTTTACCAAAGCCTATTCTTACACTGTGTAAACCTCAACTATCCCATAAGCCGCGCGTAAAATTGTCCTCATAGTATGGACTACGATACCGCATGAATCATACGGAGAAGGGCTAGGATACTGTGCATACGCACATTTCCACGCGTTCGACTTTGATTCCCCAAGCATCCGTCGTCTCATCAAGGGTGTTTTGCATTGTGGCCGAAATTTGCTCACGATCTGCGAGAATCTCATGAAGATTACGCGTGCCCAGCATGTTCCTTTGAAGAAAAAAGACGTTTATTTGGTATTCGAATTTATAGTGCTTACAAAACAAGTACAACGCATAGATCATACTATAGTACGGTATATTTATTGTGTGACCTAGTGAACTTCTGCGAACAGGTGAGTTAATTCATAGAAATTAATTTTTGGCATAGGTATTAGCTAGCGCGAAGGGGTAGCGACATGAACATAGTAAATCTGAACTTTGCTGTATTCACACCGTTATAAAAATGAGGTAAGAAAGTGAACATTGTTGTCCAGACACAAAAACGCTTAATTATTTAGAAATATTTCTCAAACTTGAAACAGGACAGCGAGTCATATTAGCAATCGACCCTTATCGCTCTACTGCTGGATAACTGGCCGGCCGAAATCGTTGCCATAGGGCGATAGCTATTATCTTTCCTATCGAATTCCGCAATTGAGAAGCTTTCGTTGCTTCCTATTGTGACGCAAATCATCATTTCAGCGGAGGTTTTGTAATGGCCAATGCAAGTCGCATCGAAAGTTATGAATCTAGTCAAAAAAAAATGCCTGTTTCCTTTTTCAACGCAGCATGGACTACATAGGCAAGTTACTACTCTGCTAAATGGTAGGCGCATCCAGTACCCACCTTGCGTTAAACAATGTCATCGGGCAACGTTCGCATACAAGCAAACTGAGTAATTTACACAACCCACAATTTTCCTAGTTTTTAGCAGTTCTTTCTCCTGCAAATGTATTTCAATAGCGTGTGTTTTAGTTTCTCTAGTAATAGCTCCTGACCAGTCGCTCTGAACGTAGCTTCCTTCCGACTACTCGAGCATGTCAACGGCAATATACTGTTCAGCACAGCTTTCGGTAAAGCTGAGGTTGACTTCTATCTAAATGGGAGCAGTTAATTATTACTCGATGTGTTTCTTACCTCGTTTTTTTAAACTTTGCTTCGACGAATATTTTCAAATTCGGCTATGATTTGTAGCAGGGGAAAATGCTTCATTTCTACATAATTAAGGCCCGTTGTCAATCGGTCGTGCTTATAAATTATCGTTCGCAGAAGTTGACTGAGTCGCCTAGTGTTGACATCCAGGCTTCGATCGCTTGATCATTTTTTACATAATGTTGTCCATAGTAAAATATATCCTTGATAAACTTAGCCATTATTCGAAAAAGTATTTAGACTTGTTTATTCTTTGCACAAAACCAACTTTCTCATTTTCATGAATTTTTTTTTTTACTGTTACAATCGAATAGAGCGAACAATACCTGAGAGTAGTTTGGGCAAGGAGTCTTGTTGAATGATGTGCGTTTTCTACATTGGCCACTGACACAGCCGCGTTTTGGATTCTACAAAACGGAAAAAAATAACATAAATGTCAGTAAACTTATCGCTACTCAAAAATAAAAAAAAAAACTATTGTCTTAACAACGAATCTCTTGTGGCATGATCCTATTTTTTTTTTTGGTTTTTTTTCCAAGAGTTAGAAAAACAAATTTGATTGCTACCGACTACGGCTTGTGGAGACTGCTACAGGGAAGGTATAAACGTAGCTACGCTATAACAATTTTTGACGTTGTTTTGTAACTTGAGACAAACGAATGAAAGGATTTTTCGGTGTTTAAAATAGATCAGGACAAACCTTTAGTTGAGCTTATTTTTATACTTCATAACGTTTTCTTTATAGTTCAAGAAAAATTGACGTATGTCTATTATATAGGATACATACAAACATATGCATAATACACATCAGCCATAACAGCACGATAACCTGGCAGTAGAAACTAACTATTAAATCTCGGGTTGTGTGGCTGGTAGACAACTACCTCATCTTCCTCACTATCCTCATAATGAATCATATGAACTAATTAGATAATAATCGGCTAAGCGTGGCAGCACGCCAGGAATGAGTGAGCACGGTACACACGGGCTATCTCTCATTACCGAATAACCATGTGAAATTAATTAGAAATTTTCTGCACGGGCAATTGCCTAAGGTTGAAGAATCAAGAAGTAGGTTTTTAAAGCACCACTGTGCAGGTTATATCCGACGAAAAGTATTCCGCTTTTTTTTCGAATGCTTACTGCGGAAAGAAGACAAGCATCGCAGAACACTATTCTTCTTTCGTTACCATCCGTAAGATATTCGAGACTGTTTATCAGACCGCAGGCATTATTGATTCTTGCAAGCATGTGGAGCTTTTAATCTGAAAGATTCGCTTATGAGTGACAATGGCGTTTTGATACAATGTCTTTGGCATTCCTGTTATATATATATATATATATATATATATATATATATATATATATATATATATATATATAGGTTCAGGATGAGAATAACTGGCATAATAAAAGTTCTAATAAGGGGTTGTTCAGTCAAATGGCTCTTTTTAAACGATTCCTATTGTCCAAAATGCAAATCAGCGTGCTATATAAAGTTCTTAGTAAAAGACTGAGAAAACGTTCAGGTAACTGGCAAGCATATGCCGGAGTCTACATTCTGACCGTGTTAGCTAGGAAATTTATTCTGCTTTGCATGTTCTTTATTTTGGGCAGTACTTGTAGCATTGAATTTTGCTAGACTTTATGGGAATTGAGGTTTTGCTATGTGTCGAAGCAACGCATCGGCTACAATTCGTTCCGTATCACTATGCTCTAAAACTCTGTGTTCCATGTTTAGTATCTGCTATTGCAGACCTAGCCGATGTAATGTATCTAACTTGTTGAATATGATCTGTGCGTTTGGTCATCGATAATCAATATGTCTGCGACATTTGCTTTCATGTTGCTTGCCTTCCGCCACCGAAATTGCCGAAGTCCATTCAGTTATCATGGCATTATTAACAATATGCAATAATTCGTCTGCTGAGGACCGGTGGCAACAATCGATTACGCGTCGTCAAACGGTGGTTCTCAATCACTAAGTAGAACATCACTCACTCATTCATTCACACTGTGTAAATCTGTCCTCAATTAACGAGCTTCGCTAGCAAACTCAATTTTAGCTTGGGTGTAAAAGAAATAAAAATGGAGGTTCTCCCTTCTGTTAAGTGTCTCTTTGAGTTGTTCGTAGAAATGAAGAAGATCAGTGTTATTTCTATATGCTCTATTGAATTTTGTTTTAACTTTGGATACATTTATGATAGATATACTGCACCGTTCATTTTGTCTAGGGATAATCGTGGACGGAAAAAGCGGCGTTTAACTTAATTGCGTTGTCAGAAGACATCAGGACACTCGATGATGTCCTTTAACAACATGTGAAAGGACATTGCGTAAAAACCACAACTTATGTTATGTTCCAATCAAATGCTATATGGGTTACGGATTTTAAAATCAGATCTGATTTTCATAAAGGCACCAAACGAGATGGAACAGATTAGCAAAGAAGGAATAAAAATCAAATAGATTACCGGCGTTAAATTTCTATTAAAACATTGAAATCTACAATATAAAATACATTTATTCTACAAAAGTTTGATAATCTATTGTTTTTAAAGAAACGCATGCGTTATTTTGATTCCTCATGTGTCCAGAATTGGTAAAAGGCCCAAAACTTTCTCCGTGTAAAGGATAAAAAAACTTGAAAATTTCCCGCTAATCTCATTTATAGAATAGCCAGTCGTTATGTTTTGCTTTGAAATCCAGTTGAATGATCAAATCGTGGTGATGGTCGTATATGAACTGTAAGTTACCAGGTAAAAACCTATACGGGCCATTTGCCTATCGGCCGATAAACGACAAATAACTGGCTAAGGTCAAAGTTTCCTTTACTGTAAAACACGCAACAGCATCGGCGCAATAGAGACCTATCTTGCACATTAAGCGTAGGTGCCATTGTAGGCAATCGTTTGTTCATTACAGGCACGCAAATGGCCACTCGCCAATGAATTGTACCGCGCTATTCTGACAGCGCATAAATGATTTTACGTCAGCGGTCAATCACCGCATGCTTTCCCCTTTAAAGAGCCGATTGAAAGATGAACAGTCAGCCATTCGTGCTGGAATTTAGTGATAATAAGGTCGATGACATTTCCTGTCAGCTCGAGGGTGACTAAATGATGACGACGACAATATACATTTTTCCACAGGCTTTCAACAGATAAACGTGCAAGAACGTCCACACACTTCGCAGTTACATAGAAGTCAACTTATGGTCTCTCATGGTAGTGTAGAAGTTAAAACTATTCCGGTCGTGACAGAGTGAGTATGAGTCGGGAAAATGACGAAGAGACAAATCTGCGATGCCCAAACGCTGTGGAAACAAAGCTACGTCTGTAAATAAAGCTAAACTATTTAACTGATAGATCGATGCAAACACGTACTTGACTTTATATAGAAATTATCATGGAGAGTTTTCTCCTGCTTTATCTTAGCTCCCATAGTGAACGAACCTGTAATAGACGACTGCGTCGACCGATACGGTAACTGAGTCTTTTGTGAGAACCTCTTGGGGAGGAACGTCGAACGTCAAAGTTCGCAGATCAACCTAAAGAGACAATACATGTTGCCTAGTTAAATGGTAACATATAGTCAGTCGCTATCGGCCGTAAGTGAATCTAACAGTTTAAACATATTCACCATAGACAATTTATAGGAAATAAGTATTGCACCCATTGGACGTTGACAATAGTTTCTTTCGGAATCGATATTCGTATATAATTAAATCAGGTTGATGTCGTGTGAAAAGAGCGAAAAATAAGGTGCCACACGGATAAACAACTATAGTTCTACGAACCTTGGTGTAGTTTTCGATACACGGCATAATGAAGAAAATTCCTGTAAATTCTTAGGGTAAGCGCCGGTTAGGGGGACCGATAGCATCTTATTTATCCCAGTCTTCACGTGTAGCAGTAGTGGGGTACCCCTCGTATTTCTATTACAGTATGAGGCTCAAAAGTTGTGCAATAGATACTGAATACAAGCCTATTTTTGAACTGTGCATTCGCTGACACGCTAAGGATTACTTGAAAAATTGACCACTCAACGTTTTCTGTGTCTTTATCGAGAATTAAAATAAAGTTCAGTTTTCTCTCGATTCTCAAGAATGAGGATGACTTTTCCTAGGCGAAACTTTACGTTTCAGCTTGATACCTATTTACTTATTCAGACAGGGAACTTAGTTTAACACATATCGTTACTATTGTGCGAGAATTTTGATTTTATGCAACTTTATGGTCTCTCGTTCCTGAAAAGAAATCAGAATTAGATTATGCAAGCGAATGCAGACGCTGTGTATGCTTCTACTGATACTCTGAGGGTGGGAATCGACTGTCTCGGAGACGGGCTTATACAGTACCGCGAAGTCCATATTGGCTGCTGGAGAATAGTTATATTGACCCACCTCTTGATCATCTTAAATCTTATATACATCTCTGTGTAAGTGTGTACCTTCGTTCTTCATTAATACATCTTCGATAATGGGCCACAGAGGTAGGAGCATTTGTCTGAGCGGTTTCTCACTAGCTTTGCCTGATGTTTCCTCGTTGCGCTCTGTTTATTATCATGGCACTTAAGTCTGCGGTTAGTTTCGCTCAAAGGAAAATCGTTAGTTTGTAACTATGTTTCATCTAGGACATCAAAACGCTACGTATCACCTATTGGTCTATATGATTAGTGAAACTATGCAGTGAAGGTGAATTAGTTAATCTTCTATGGTGACGCGTACGCAATGACGTGTTTATATATGGTGTTTAGGCTCAGTTAATATGGGGTGATTCTCATTGACAGCCAGCTGATTATCGTTAGTGAACTGGTTTATTTTTTATGCATATTTTAGTAAAACTGAGGATGTCCGATATTCGAAGGATATACTTACCGGGTCCTTTAGATCCACCGGAAAGCAGTCGGCCTAATCGAAAGATCACAGCGCGCTCGTATTCTTGGACGACCTAGTTTACCCAAATGCCAATAACGACACGATTTCAAGAAGCGTCCGTGGAGAAACATGCCCAACATTCTGCTTATGATGATTATAACTAGTTCTGCTGCTATTACTGGACAATTATTAATTGTTTGCTATTTCTTCGTTTGGCAGTTGTGTACCCGATTTGGCCCGTGTACTGCCGTTTTGGCGCTGTACTACAATCCAAGTTGTCGTAAGTTATTTGGATACGCTTACATTAATTAACCCTTTTTGCCTTTGGCGAAGATACAGTCGATCAAGATAGAGAAAGTGACTTAAGCTGACCTTAATGCAGAAGAATAGCGACAGAGGAAAAGTTGCCCCGATTAGAAAAAGTGATCCCAGTGTAAGAATCCAACCGCAAACGCCGACATCATTGTCATGAGAATCGGCTGAAAATGAAATAGTAAAACATGGTAGAAAAAAAAGACATACCAACTTAGATTTTTTCAGTTAGATTAACAAAAAGCTTACATTTACCTATAACACTGCGAGTGTGTTCAACTCTTAAAACTCGTCCATGGATGAAGGTCGCAACCACGTTATTAGTTTACGTAAAGTTAAAAGTGACAAGGCAAGATGACTTTTCGGTCCCACCGTTAGCGCATAGCAGTAATATATTCAAGGTTTCCACAATCCCTAACAGCCATAAAACATCGAATTACGAAATGTATAACTTTGCCCATACATTACGACATCGGGTAAAGCTCTCGGGAGATCGTGAAGATTAGTTAACATTGCTACCAGTAGGTAATTGAAAACTGAAGACAACTGTTCCCAGACACATTTAGCCGTAGACACGGCGGATGATAAACTGAAAGCCCTAAGTAATTCCCTGCATGCCACAAGCAGTAACTATAAACTAGGCTACGTTCCTAATACACTCACCCTTCGTTGATCTATTAATTATATCAGAGATTTAGGAATTCGTGTGCCGCTGGGCTCTTTGAAAATTCAGCTCCTGGATCTAAGTCTGGCACACGAGTCACAAACAGAGACAGATTTCGAGATTAAGGTTTACAAAATGTTGGCATTCCTTGTATCTATATTCGTACAGAATTTAGAGATTGATATATAACTGACAAATACATTAAAGGATACGTTTATTTAAACTTTGCATAACTTTGCGTCACACAGTGAATATTAATTGCCAACATCACTTCTAACGCTGCATTCAATACAAATTAAATAATTTCGACTGACCGAACAGTATTTCCAGTCTCTACGAAACCCCTGAACACCTTGCATATTAGCATTATTTTCATTGAAGTATGTATGCTTCGTAAGGTTTTTTTATTCACGCTACAGTAAGATATCAATTCTGAAGCTCCAGAGCCCTATTGCCAGTAGAGAAACAGTATCTCAGCTTCTGATAATATGAAATCCTCATTTTTCCCGACAGGGTGCTTAAGACAATGGCAACGTATAGATATATAAAGTAATCGTACCTCGTGTGCAGAGTTTGTCATTGTCAGCAGTTCGATTGGTCATAATTATTAGTTAGATGTTAGTTGGTGATGCGACACTATTACGTACGTATTCATCTCTTCATTCGAGGACCTTGTGTATACAAATAGGCTTGGCGCAAACCGCCGCATCCAGATCCCAATAGTTGCGTTTACAGATACGATATTGGTCCGTTTGCGAATTCAAACTACTCTTGCAACCTTAAAAATTCGTTTCCTGGCATAAGGAGCCTAAATTCATTGTGGTGCCTATTAGTAGCATGAAGACGCGACTTTAACACGTGAAGCTTTGATGTTCGTCATGTCCTGATGTAACAACAACATTCGAATTACACGCAGGAAAAATCTTACTGCTGATCTAAGAGATATAAAGATAGAAATAAATAAAAATATCATCTATAGAGATCCACTGCGACAGAGGTTATAATATCATAATCAGTAGGACATAAACAACACTTGAATTCTCTATAGACCTGCGTCTTTTCGGACCACAAATTTTGTCATCTACTCTACTAGTAGCACCTGCTTCCCCCCATTCCCCCTAAAACAGTTAAATAATTAGACAGATATAAGCAATTTTAACAACACCAGATTCACTATAGGCAAAGTTCAAGTTTGCCAAGATCCCTGAGTCATTTACAGTATCTAAGAACCAATCACTGGTCCCCGAATCACATTTGATACCAGTTTTCCATTAGCTTTATTATGTCAAGTCCTCAGCTCAGACCACACTCATTTTCTGAACCAAGCTAAAATGTACCTGCCGTAAAATAATCATCGATTTATTAATGACTGCACGAATCTGCACGCCTGTCTATGAAACGGCATAAGGAGTGATTAGCCGCAATGAATGCTCAAAAGGCCACACATGCTATTACGCGCATCTCATCTAGAATATGTCGTCTAATGATTAAAGAGCTACGGTACGTGGAGGACCAACAGCAACATTGGATATTTTTTGAGTGCAAGCGAGTTTTTCTCTTGGAAAAAGGAGATAAACATGTTTATAGCTTCCCTTGTTTTTTATAAGCAAAGCAAATCTTTTTAGGCGCCACATTGTCACCGGCGTTCGAGTCAATGCAGCATTCGTAGTTTTGAAACAGCCATGATAGTCGATATTAGGTGTTGCTATTTTCCCAATATGCATCATTTGTTCGTACGCTAAAAGAGCAGAACAAAGGACGCCGTATACGATAGGTAATGTAAAATATATGTATTAGCCCACAAAGTAAACGATTCTCAGTAATCTCTTGACAGCAGATCGTAGATGATTTTCTATAAAATGAGGTAGATTGTCATCCACTCGCCAATTCGTAGCGGCTACCAATGACGGGAGAAGTTACCGCGAGTTTTCTACCATGAGTTTAACTAAAGATATTTGGTTATCGGACCTATGCATTTTGATGCCTTCCTTAATTCCGTATTACTAGATCAAGCCATTGCGTTCGTCTTCGCGTTACAGTGGCCAGGGCGCCTATAGAAACGTCAGAATCGTCAAAACGCGTCCACTTTGTTTCATGGTAAATTTCTTGTCGTCTCCTGCCCGTTCTGATGTAAGAAAAAACTTGCGCATCTCAGGTCCTACGAGGCATATAGTTGGCTTCAAATAATCAAGGAGGTTTATAACTTTGGTAAGAGTCCGTTCGACGGAAAGACGTTAGACTTTTGCTTATGATGCGTTTGTGGTCGTATTTCAAAAGGACCTGGCTTCTTTCTAAGACGGACACTAATGGATCGGTGCACCCTTGCTGCGACAAAGAGCCTGCTCAATAATGCCCCAGTCACACAACAGACTTGAACGTACATGACCTAAAAGTGTCTGCCTTTTTCTGTGATTACAAGTATTAGCGCTCGAATTGAATAAAGGCTGTGCAAAATCGTGCTAAGGATATTGCAAATTCTCACATGTGCATAATGTTATAGTTTACATGTTTGTGTATCGCGACTATGTTAGGTTTGCCAAACAAAATGCTGTACAACACCTTTAAATAAAGTTCAGCACACCTATCATAACTAGAAAACATCAACAGAACTTATGTGGACAAGGCGATTTATTTTCAACTATATGCGTTAAACAGATATGAACGGTTTGTAAATTTCCCATTCAATGTTTGTCGATCAAATGGCCTGAAGCTCGGTAAAATAGGCATACTTTTCTATCGGAAAAAGTTAAAACGTGTTACCTTTTATGGGTATTTATTTTTAATCGACGGCGGGTCTTTTTGCAGTTGGGATAATGATATTTTGTTAATAATACGAGCAACAGCTGAACAATTTTAATTACCACTAATTCCAAACAGTACCAGCAATAATAATGGTGGGAGTAGAAGTCACAATATAAACACTTTGTTCGTTCCGACAGATTTAGATCAATGTGTGTCGATGGTATTCAGCTTCGAATGACTGTTTCATCTTCTATTTTATCTCATGACATAGACAATTCTATTAGATAGCCCCATTACGACAGCTTGTAAATAACTGTTGCGAAGCTTTTCTGTGGGGCAAAGTTCTTCTGTATATTAATGACTTCAACTAATGATGTTAAGTAAGAAAGCCAAAGGCCGGCTTTTTGAGTGGCGGCGGCGGCGGCGACGAAGTGCTAGGTAAATCCTTGGCTTTATAATCATTATCATTACAAGAAATAGCACATATATTACGAGCAACGCTCACCATTTTGAACTAGTGAAGATGTGTAGATTATCCGTGAAAGGATCAATCATCAGTATAAGTTGCTCGTTACAATGGTTCAGGATGAACCCTCTCAGATCTGTCTGTGAAAGTTTTGAAATAAATCTGCCTCTGTCGTACGAAGAAAATCTGAACAGCTAAAAACGACAGAAATCTTTCGTCATTGTGGGACTTCGGTAGCAGTATTTATGGTGATCTCAAGCGACATACATTAGCATTTTATGTCATCCGCAGAGCCTATAGCGTAGAACGGCTTAGGAACTAGTAGATAATGTTTATTTATTTAGCTAGTTTATTTTGATACTATTTATCTTGCTTGCAATAGGGAATCTTCGTAAAGTATCCGTGGTACATTTTTTCAAAAACAATTAGTATTAGAAGTCTCTCGCACCTCAACGCTTGCCTATGGCTTTAGAACGATAGATTCCACTGCTTTAAACATTATACCTAGCACTGAGACGGCACTTTGAAAAAAGTCGCTTAACTGTATGCATACCCATTTGTTGACATAACCTGAAAGCTTCGTTGCAGTTATACTTCTGGGCTTTTTACGGTCAAGAAATCTGGCTCGATTTCCGCCGGCCACGAACTTTGCCGGACCTCATTTTTGACGTACTCACCATTGCTCACATGTTTCGTATCGCTGAATATGTTGATTACGTCTTGTTTATTGAATTTCGATTTTTCAAAGGGTGACCTTTTCCGCTTTCAGCTATCGCTTTAGTGGCTGACAGAGCGTAAACCAACATTTAAAGTATTAAGTCTCCTTGACAAAACAATAGTCATAATCCGACGAGGCTCGTAGAGTCCACTAAACCCATTGCAAACTTTTGCGAAATAGTATTTCTACGAGACGTCCGTGAAATTTTTTTTCTATTACAAGTATATAGTATAGTTGTCCGGCAATAATTGAAGTGTCTGCGGAAGTGTCTCATCAGAACATATTGAATGAGCACTAGCAACGAAATGCAACATCTCTCTTGGGACATTTTCTCAGAGTAAATAAAATTAACATCCATAACAACAGATTACAGTAGCCTTACCTCTCGCTGTTTGAGTTTGTCTCTGTGCCAGTAAGCGGGTGGGTCGTCAATTTTTGGAAGCGAGTTTTCATGTTTTGCCAGATTTCTCATTGGCGACGAGTCGGTCTTCACATATGATCGTCGGTACTCAGTGAATCGATAAACGCCACCAGGCGCGTTGCAACAGCGAGACAAGTCGATCATGTCGTGGTGATA